TCTTTCCCGACCAATGTTTTCTCAACGAAATGTTTCCTGACTTTCAAGTGGTGAGCTACAAGTACAATGCGGTCAAGACGCTGCGGACGGCCCATCCCAAGACATGGGATATCCAGGTTTGCCCGCAATGCCTTCGAACAAGTCGCAGATAGGTTTGTTGTAGGAAGTGAAGAACTTGCACTTCATTTTGACCAAGCCGTGGAACGTCGACCCGTCTGACCCCGCCCAAATCGACCCTTTCTTTGACCTGTACGAGTTTTGGTGGGCTGCTCGTGACGATGCTGCCGCCGTAGCGTCCCTGAGTTCTAAAGGAAGTCGGCCATAAACGTGGAGAAGTCAATGATGTTGGTGTTGTCTGGACCTCTTCTGTACTACTGACCGTTTGAGGCGACAAGTCAGTCCATCATAACAGTCTTATCGCCGGCAAAGCTGGAACGAGGCAGCACGGACGATTGTTTCCATGGAACCTGCGGTGAGAACATTCAATCGATGGAAACTAGAAGAGCACCATGGCATGGGCTCATCAGGTGCTTGGAATTTGAAGGAAGCGCCTATGTGGACACCTAGTGTTCAAGAATTGGCAGCCGGGAGAACACTTTCGTCGACTTGAACACATCAGAATCAATTATAATAGCGCTTGGCGACGGTTGCGCCTCTTGGTGCAATGCATTTACTGATCCATTGGCCATTTGCCTTCGCAGTCGCCTTCTCGGACGACTGTGATCTTGACGTGCTTTGCACATGCGTCACGCTTCATCGAGCACTCGTTTTCGTAAGTGTGTCCGTCCGAGCCACATACAGGATGGAAAACTTCGACGCACGCTTGAGGGCAATCAGGGTCCGCCTGGCGCACGTGGACACCGGCATGCACGTCGCACGCGCCTGTGAAATCCACGCTCACTTTGGTGTTATCGTGGCACGCCTGTCTGCGAAGCACGCATTCGTTGTCGTACGTCTTGCCATCCGTGCCGCACACGGGTTGGTAGATTTCGATGCACGCATCCGGGCATGCTTCGGACAGCTTCCGCGTAGTGCTGCATCGACCTTTTGACACAAGTTCCAGCGTCGGATTGTTGCACTTGGCCCACTTGAGCAAGCATTCGTTGCCGTACGTTTGACCGTCGCTGCCGCAAACTGGCATGTAGATACGCGTACATCCACGGACATTGGCGCAGAAGTCTTCCGTTTGGTTGTCCGCGGATGTAGCAGTGGCGAGGGCTGCGATGCATGCGACGACGGTGGGTCCCTTCATCTTCTTCGTGTTTTGGGAAATGGCATAGGATCGGTACAGTAGCGGCAGGCCCAAAATGTCGAAAGGAGGGACGCCGAAAAGTATACGGCGAGGTGTGGTGGATTCTACTTTAAAGCTTGATTAATATATGAAACTTCCGACTCCTGCGACACAGAAATACGACAAACGCACGATTTAGTAAAATTACCTACGAATGTCGGTAATATCATAGTAAGTTATATAAAAAACACATACTCCACCTTGGAATTAGAAATTAGCATACAGCCACGAATGGAAAAAACAATATTTCCTGTTTGAGGATACGTTAAGGTTATAGGTTAAAGGGGTAATAATCCACAATTCGAGACAATGCAATTATTGGTTGTATTCTGCATGCTATTCCACCTCGCTCCTCTACATCATCGGCCTCGTCGTGCAGGACGTCATCGCAAAACGCAGACAAGTTGCTCTTGATGAATGTCCGCTTGTCGACGATCATTGGGATATCAGGCGGTTCCGAAGCTTTGAATAACGGAAGTTGAGCTGGAGAAGTTCCGCTGTGAGGCGGCAGTCGACGTCGCCTGAAAGCTTGATGGCGGTCTCCCGCAGTACTTGCCATCGATCATCCAGTAGTACGGCAAAATGGACTTGGTGTCATTGGTCAGCATCCTGAAGGGCAACGGGCTGCTGCGTCCTTCTCGTGTTCCGCTGTATTCGCGAACTCGGTCCACTGCATGTCAATGGTTTCCGCTCGGCTTTCATCCCGCGACTTGCGGGGCTTGTTGTCAATGAACTTGAACAGGAAGTCCTCGAGAACGCCACCAGTTTCACAGCGATTTTGTTATTATTGTTCATACAGAGTGTCGAATTATTGAATTGTTATAACAGGATGTCGAATTATTGAATATATTTAGACCTGATTAAGACCTTTGTATGGGGCGAATTGAATTTTTATAAAGAAAAATCGTTCATCAGTTAGGTCTACAACCCCAACTCGCTCCAACCCTGCATGAAACGATACGAAACGCACTCGATGCAAGGTGATTTCTCCAAGGAGAATAGAATTCGCTGTGTTGGCAGTCGACCAGTCCGCTGTGTTCGTGCAGCATCTCCCTCGATGCCGCCAGCCCCACCGTGGCCACCGTGGCTAGAGTTACAGTATACAGAGAGACCGTCTGGTGGATGCTGATGCTCCACCTGCATGCACGGGAGCAATACGGCGGAACCCTGCATGCGTTTACAAGTAGCGGGAAGGGTGTCAACCTATCGCCGAGTCATCCACGACATGCTTCGCCGCGTGGTGCGGACATCCGAGCGTGCTACATCTCGACTTGCGGTACATCGGCATGTGCTTGCGTTGATACAGGCGAAGGCAGCGCTGATGTCTCGCATCAGGATACGTGCCAATTACGTGGGATGCCAGCGGAGGGTTCCGTCGTTTGTAGTAGGCCATAGATTCCCGTCACGAACTGAAATGACCACCAGTGTAGCAAGACGTTAGGTTGTCTGAAGCGTGACGTTGACATTGCTGCGCTTGTGTACTTTCGAGTCGGTGCATTCGCCACGGTGACGAACTTCGAGCGTCGACGATAGCCCTTGCTTGCACTTGGCAACTTTCAACTCGCAGGAGTTGCTGTACGTATTCCCATCGCTGCCGCAAACGGGGTCCCATAACGCAATGCACGCAGCAGCACATTTACCGTCAAGGTTGTCTTTGGTCGGAGTTGCACCGTCGCAACCTCCGTTTGCGTTGTGGAGTGTCAATGAGGGGATACGACACTTGGCGTTTTTGAATTCGCAGACGTTTGCATACGTGACTCCGTCCGAGCCACACACTCGGGCGTAAGAATAGCCGCATGCTGATGGGCAAATCCAAGTTGGGGCGTCACACGGCCCAAAGGCATGCAAAGTTAGCAGGTGCTTGCTGCATTGGGCAATGCGGAAAGTGCAAGGATTGGCATAGGTGGTGCCGTCAGACCCACATACAGGGTTCATCTCACGAGTGCACGCTCGGGAGCATGCCTCGGTCGTCATGTCTTGGCTCGCAACGCGGGGCGTCAAGCAGGCGAGAGCGACGAGCAGTTGCATCGTTGTCCCAGGCAAAAAAGCGCAATGGAACTTGACTGAGCAACTTCAATCGCAAGCACGTACATACATTAATCAAGATCATTTTTATCCGGAGGATCATCCGTACTTTACGTGTCGAATTCCATCAAACTGCGGCACGACGAAGAATGACCGACGCGGTGCTGACGTGGAAAAGCCAGCTGATGGAGTACGACCCGACATCGGACGTTTGGAAGGAAGCAGCACTGCGGATGCGACAGTACGCCACCGACTTTGTCGACGGTCTGAAGCAACGCCCGAACGACACTCGTGCTGTGGACGAAGTCCGTTCTCTCGTGCCAAACGATCTTCGCGAAGAGCTCGAGGCACTTCCCGTTGCACAATTCGCACTTGGTCTCATCTTTTATCGACCTTTCCAAGAATTCGACCGCGTCTATCGTCATTTCTCCCACGAGGTGGTTGATCCGCGGCATTCGTCTGAATGGATTCACAGATCGGTGGATGTAGTACGCCAAGGAGCTGTCCATGCAAGCAAGGAAAGACTACAGCGAGTTCGACACGACGAGTTTTGTACGTTTTCTGTGGCTTCCTGCCCGCCATCTTCTCACCAACGGCATCATCGAACGTGTGTAGGTGTACGGCGAAGTCTTGTTTTTTCCGTTTGCGGACATTTTGCTCTCCATCTCAGACGACATTCCACACGGCAATGGCATCTTCTACGACTTGGTACATTGCGTGTCTCCAATGCGTCGTGACATGTTCGGTGGCGCAGGGATCGGGGATCGGCAAGGCCGTTGTGGCAGCGGCGCTCGTGCACAAGTTTCACAAAGCGATCGGTATTGAACAACTTAAGGTACTCTCCGACTAGGAACCAACTCAGTGGTCATGCTCTGCTGTGCAATCCAGCCGCTGGTCGACTTTTCCCACGCCCGAGTCGACAAACTCATGGAATTCAACGACATGGCGGGCCAAACGATCTCGTACATTTGCGGAAGCTTCTTCGATCACAATTGGAGTGATGGCGATGTTGTGTTTTGCCACAGCACATGCTTTTCACCAAGGCAAGATCAACAGTTGACGAAAACCTCACGGCTTGTGGACGTAGCATGTGGGAGCGCATCTCAAAGGACGCGGAGCAGCTCAAGCAAGGCTCGTACTTCATCTCGGTGTCGCACATCTTGGCGTCACCGCTATTTGAAGTGCTGCGCACGCTCACATTGCAAATGGGATGGGGCCACTGCACCGTGTACATTCAGGTAGGCGTCTGGTCGTTGTAGAAAGTGTCGATGGGTTGACATGATGATGCAGCGCCGCCGTCGCATCGGACGATGGGCAAGCAAGATGCTCAAGGGAAACGCCGCCCGAACAGACTTGCATCGACCAAACGTTAAACAAAGCGAAGTGCGCGAGTAAAGTTGCGATGTC